TTATCTTCACTGTAGGGCTTTTATTACAATTATATATATATATATAACTAAACGAACCTTATGGTCGGCAGTCAGTGAAGCATCAGTGCCAACACTGATGTTGCTGTCATTGATGATGATGATGATGATGATCCTCGCGTACCTCGGGATCATCAAGCCTCGGTCATTGATGATGATGATGATGATGATCCTCGCGTACCTCGGGATCAATCTTCAAGCCTCGACGCCCAGTTGATCTGGACGGCTTCAATGTCCGCAATCTGAAGCAGGCAGGCCAACATGCTGTTCTTGCTCTCACACTGGACTCGCTTGGCTGTGTCTCACAAACAAGAATTCAAGATGCAGGCACAGCTGAGCCCCCCCCCATCACTCTTCACTCGCTTTCGGCTGCGTACCTCTGACGATCCAGAAGCTAGTGCGGCAGGATGTGCAGGGGTAGGTATCGTCCTAATTCACCGGGCGGAAGGATCTTTCCTTGACTGGATACCGGTTGATAGTCACCTCGTGCGATTCGTCTGGCGACGTCAATGAAGGCTTGTTTGGGCAGCGAAACTGAGACATCCTCAAATGTTCGACAATTGTTCTCTCCGAACCCTAGCTCATGTGGGATGATATCGGAGAATCCATAACGAGGCAGTTAGAAAGAGAGTTTTCGGTTGTGCACCGGAGAAGAATATGTCCAGTATCAGAAGCTGTGTTGGTTAGGTTTTGTAGTATCTATGCCGAACCATCGTTCACCGAAATGAGTGCTGTTACTTGAGTTCAATTTTCGAGTGACAGAAGCAGAGAGGTGGCCAACCCTTGACATGGCAGAGGGGTATGAAAGAGATTACGAATCGTTAGGGCGCTATCGGTGCTATTCCCCTTCCAGGATGGGGACCGCGTGATCCCCAATGCGTTTAGTTGAAGACACTGCAAGATACGGTTGCTAATCGAAATCAATGGCATTCATATTGTCAGTTTCAATTTAGATTACCTGAATGAGCGTCTAGAGGTATGGGCACCCCGTCCACCTTTATTCGTTACTTCACGATAGGGCTTTCCAATAAATCATAATAAAATAAATCAAACATAAATCAAACCATAGTAGCGAAGCACCATTGTTGAACATTGCTGTCTTGCTGTCCATGACGATGATGATGCATCCCGGCCCGCTGATATGCCGCGGACCATTTCTGATCATATTCAGTTCATTATTCAGTACAGCATTCCCACCAAAAAGGGAGAGGAATCTACTCGAAATGAACTGGCGTAGGGGAAGTAACTGGATGACTGAACTGAACCAACCGTCAGACGTGGATCGTCTTAGAAGGGTGGACCGCTTTAACCTAGAACAAGGTAGACGTCAAACTGGCCTGCTCATTGAAAAGCACCAACTGATAAGACTTTTCAGTGCCTCCTGAACGAAGCGAATTGGGGCACGCATAAAATGTTCAAAATTAGGAATAATATTCAGGTAAGGGATACTCTGTTGAATGGATGAGTCACTGAAACGCCCCTCCGGCAAAGTGGTATTGATTAACGACCGATTCTTCCAAGCGAGGACCGAGGTTCGGCTCTGTGGTATGTCCAGAGTGGTACTACCGTAACGGCCAGACCTAAAAATCTACAAGGCTATGCAGATGATAATTAGGACCGGGGGAGTGTAAAATAGCTGGGCTGAAGATTATGTGTAGGAGTGAACACAACCCATTAATTACGCAAGGAGTTAGGGGCGGAATGTTGCCTAGATCAAAAAATGAAGGATAGCTTCGCGGGGCCTGTAGGGAGTTTCTCATTGAAAATGAGCCTAAGCGCCCAATTAGCAAGCAGGTTGGATGTCATCTGGGATACCAAATTTACCCCCATTTACGTAGCGTAGACACAAACCAGTCCAGGTTTATTATCGTCATATCCGCGGATATTTATTATAAGAACACGTCCCATGCGTCGGCAGCCGATCCTACTGTGAATTCAGAATGGGGAGCTGTTCTGTGCCCCCCTAACCATATGGTCGTACGTTCGAACCCAACCTCTGCTTCTCGACTTCCCCTGCCTAGGCTTAGGCGACCTGGCAGCATCCTAGCCCTCGTGTAGCATGGCATTCCCCTGTCTAGGCTTGGGTGGCCTGGCAGTATCCCAGCCCTCGTGCTTCCTTCGTGTAGCATGGCAGCTAGGCACCGAAAAGGTGCTACAACTGAACGATATGGTTGTAGATGCTCCAGAATCGCACTTCTGGACAGTGACCGTTATCACATCCTACCACACCCAGATTTTGGGAGTGTTTAATGAAGCTGACTCATTTCCCGAAACAAGGGTTTCTATAACTATGGTTGCCTCTAACTTGGTGTACATACATTGCTTGATACACATTGGTTTAGGATTTCGTCTGAATGTACCCTAGTGAACGAAGATTGGTTCAAGATACTTGACATTGCAGAGGTACTAGTAAGTCTGACCGAACTCTGTTGGTCAAACTGTTAAAAGAAGTCACAAAATTCACGTTCGAACGTAAATGAATGTCGTAAACCGAAGTTTAAAGTGGCCGTACACTTACCTGCGAACCATGGGGATTTTGGATTTCCAGCCGTTGAAAGTCCCACTAATGTAGACATCTTTGCCGCCACCCTCCCACTTGAAAACGGTGGGAACATTTTGGGGCACATTATCCTCAACACCATCCATGCCCCCACCAACATAAAGCATACCTTTATCTCCCAAAGAACATAGCCGCGAGTCACGCAGTTGTTCAGCAATAGCGTCGATAGCTACTCCTTCCGTGAGGATGCTGATAACCGAATCATCACCGGGATAATCCTGCAAAAGTAGATAAACCAAGTACATCATACCTGCGACTCATGAAACATTTGTCGTTTCACAGCGTTTCCACTGGATAGGTCCTCTTCCAACGAAGATCTACGCTTGTGTCCACCTGAAGTATTGCCCATTTTGTCTCGAAAGGTAGTACGCGCGCTATAGAAACAGCGTGCGACCGTGGTTCTCGGGTAACAGGGGTTTTACGAAAATTTCTGCTAAAAGAAAATTGAAACTTCTTAAACAAGGCAAAATCTATCACCAGTGCCTAGACAGAAATCAACAAGTGGTAAGGGACGTTGTTCAAATAGTCAGCGCTTGTTTGAAATGTTTGCTTGCATTTTGGAAAACTGTCCCAGGTAACTGAAGGGAAACGGTGACAGTGCTCGTTTTCAAAAAAGGGGCTCGTAGTGAGTGTGGTAACTACAGAGGGATCAGCTTGATCCATGTCATGGGGAGACCTTGCCATCATTTCTTCGTCGCCTTAGGTGGCTCGAGACACTGACTCAAAAGCAGCAACCGGGACTCTGGTCTGGTACGAGTTGGGGTGACCAAACTCTGTCAGGTGCAATAACAACGTCATATGTGCAAACGACCCATGATTCTAGCAGACCTGGATTTCCAAGACACATTCCACTCGGTTGAAACATCCATTCTCCTTGATACACTTGCTCATCAAGGAATGCCCCGGAAGCTTCTGAAAATAACAAGTTCTTTGTCTTCTCAGACTTCCGGATGGGGAACTGTCCAAAAACTTCCGTTCGCAAAGCGTTGTATGTCAAAGTCACTCGCTCTCTCTATTCCAACTTAATTTCGTGATCGGTGAGATAATGAGACGAAAGCTGGAAGGTTTTCAAATAGCGTCTGACGAAAACCTTGTTGATCTGGAATATGCACACGAAGAGAGTGCTGTTCTCCGTGCCCAATGTTAGAGTAGCGGGAGTAGAGAGGTGGCCAACTCTTGACATGGCAGAGGAGTAGGAAAGAGATTACGAATCGTTACAATACTGTCGGTGCTACCCGCCTATAGGGATGGGGACCGCATGATCCCCACTGCGTTTGGCTGGAGACGCTGCAAGATATGGCTGAATGCAAAAAAATGATAATAATCATTCAGCTGTACCACCTTTCCGTTGCCTAGCTGCCATGCACGAGGGCTGGGATATTGCCATGTTGCCCAAGCCTAGGCAGCGGAAGTCGAAAGGCAGAGGCCGAGTTCGAACTACGGATCTTCCGGTCAGTTAATTTGCGCTCTAACTACTTGAGCCATCTCGCTGAATACAAGGTGTCCTGAATAAGTGTTTGCAGATGTGAGCACTTCGGGATGAATGCAATTAGCTAGCACTAGGCCTGTTCTCCGTCCACTTTTATTCGTTTCTTCACAGTAAGGCTTTCAAATAAATCATAGTTGTTCGACAGCAAAGTATCAGTGTGGAACATTGATGCTGTTGTTGATGATGCCTTCGGTATCGACGACTGGAGGCGTAGGTTTTGTATATCCGTGCATCAACAACCTGCGTGTGGTCAACGTGTCAAAAGAGTAACATAGAGTCCACCTCACATCTTTGTTCGGGTGTTTAGCTCAACTCGAAGTGACCACAAACCCGGGTAAAGGAAAATTCTGGCAGAGTGCCGACGATTTCTTCGGACACCGTACCGATCTAGATGGCTTTCACGAAATCAAGGACAAGGTGCAAGCTCTTCATAAATTTGCTTTCCCCACGCCCTTAGCTGCTGTTCGCCGCTTCAAAGGAATGCTATTTTGCTGTCGCCGTTTTATTCCCAATGGTGCTCGTTCGTCCGTTTACGGGTTCACGCAGAAGTCGAACGAACGGCGATGCTGATCTTCCAGACGATAAGATAATTATTTAGCTGTAACACCATTTCGGTGCCTAGTTACCACGTCCCCCGGAGGCACGGGGACTGGGATGTTGCCAGGTTGCCCAGGCCTAGACGGGGGAAGTCGAGATGCAGAAGTCGGGTGCGAACCGCGAGCCTTCTGACCAGTAGAATCGCTGAGCCGCTGAACCATCTCACTCTCTTCAGATAAGGCGCAGCATGACTCTGAGACAGTAGAGGCATCCTCGTCGGCCACAACGCTCCGCTGAGCGTCGCTGTGAGTGATTCCTAGACAGTCGCTGGAGCTTTCCCCACACGGTTTCTACCGCCGGAAATGCGTTACACTATATCCGGGTGTGAATTTTTAGCGCTCAGTTCTACAGCTGACATTTAGGTGTGTCGGAGGGTCAAACAATTGTGATCTCTATTGACCACTGGACACGGTCTTCACGCTTCAAAACCACTCGGAACGCTACTCTCCTCGAGAGACGTGATACCTTGCCATTGTGACAAATCCACCAAGGACGTCCGACACATTTCTGGTAAGGACAAAATGGTGCTTTTCCATTTGTCGGTCTTTGTTTCAGATACGGTTGACTTTGATATAACAGCCACGGCTCGGTGTGAAGAAGTCGTCAGTACCGAGACAATCATCTGAACCTTTATAGAACAGTCGGTCTCTGTGTACGACTACCAGGTGAGCACAACCGATAGAGGTTCACAGTCCGAGAGCACTCAGTTAGCAGACTCTTGATACTTTAGGCTGCCATCACATCCGCACTACAACGCAACATTACTAGGCAACCAAGCCACATTTTCGTTTTCCAAGCCCGGGAGAAAACCACTCAAATCCTTGTACAGAGGAAGTAGGAAACCACTAGAGCGTCCCTACAAAGATACCTTTAGCATAATCTAATGTAAAAAGGTTTTCATCATAATAGCTTGAGATGGCTCGATGGTTAGGGCGTCCGGTCCATATGACTGGTTTAAGTAGCTAAATCATTTACATAATATGACAACCACCGTGATGTGATCTCAACGCCATCGTAATCAATGCTTTTGGTGAACGATGTCTGAAGTTCCTGTCTTCCTGCACTTCTTCCCGATCGCCTATAGGAATCTTACAGACAGCAAATCCATTGTTCTCTTTTGTCACTGACTTTTGAGTCAGGTGTCGTCGAAAGCTGCTCTGTCTGAGGGATGCTATGTAGCGCACACTTAATTTCGATCTTCTTTGGCTAATTTCGCCTATGTATGTTTTGTTCTGGCATGAATCCCGACTGCGAGTTGAACTTCATGTTTTTGTGGTGTGTAAGGTCCGCGGTTCGAATCCGACCTCTCGACTTCCATGGTCTAGGCCCGGGAGGCCTGACAGTAGCTCAGCCCTCGTGCTTCCTTCTAGAGCTGAACGTGGTACGGTGTCTGCTTGTGGTTCATCTTCCATTCCGTGTACTCATGTGCCCATAGTTATCGGTGCTAGTGTCGCGAGAATCCTGAAGGGTCTATACCTTCAAGCGGCCAACCAGACGGAACATTTCGAGGCTCAACCAACTCTCCTTGGGAGCCAGCCTCCATTGGATTTCTTCAAGGCCCTGTTTAGGAACCACCTCTATTTCTGATCTACGTCAACGAAAACGGTTGCCGGACTTAAATCCCTGAACTACGAAACGCATCTTGCCGTGCTTGACCCCCTTCCCCTAGAGTATCGTCACCTCCGAGAAGACCCAGTACTTACTAATGCCTTTTTTGAACAAGGTTTGGAGAACAGATTTTTCAATGCTGACCAAACTAACACACGGCAGGGACCTGTTACCTTTAGTAGGCAACATTGTTTCTCTTTTCGGTTCCCAGGCCTTAATTGTTGCAAAGGATTCAATAATTTGCACCCTTAGCTGTGCGGTTATCAGTATAGATCGTAATGCTACAGTTGTTAGCCGTGAAAAAAACTTTGGGAGCAGTTATACAGCAGCACAACAACTACCCGAAAACCATCAGTAACAATTATTGAACCGCAAAACTCGGTTAATAAGCGGGCAAATAACCGTTAGATACCCGAGTTAGGAATAACTATGTGATGACGCCGTTGTTCAACGTTGCTGCAACCGGACAATGTGGTTACTTCATGATTAACTATACAGTTATAACGCGATTAAAAAAGTCTAATAACAGCGAAATACGGTTATATATTGGTTACTTCACCGAACTGCTGCTGACGGTTGTATAATCGTCCAACATCCGACAAACACAGTTATTTGACGGTTATCAGTCCGTTATATAACATACGGACGCCGTTCAGTCGGCCATTTTGCCTCCAGATAACCACAAAAGCCGTCATATGGTGGTTTTGATGGTGCAAATAACCACCAATCAACCATACTAAGTGGTAACTAGACGGTTATATGATCGCCACATAACCGGAGAACTCGTTTTAGTGGACTGCATGTGCTGCTAGCAGAAGCACACACTAAAAGACGATTCCACCGAATTACGTTTTTTGCACACGTCAGTCGTCGGAAGGATTAATCAATACGACACGGTCGAAATCAGACGTGCGTATTCCAACCGCCACCGCCTTGTGCTCAGGTTTGAGCCTGTGAAGATAGTTGAGGATCTCAGTCATCCATTTACCTAGTGTTGGACGCACTAACTGTATATTAGGTCACATGCAACCACGAACTTCACAACCAAATGTACCTGAATGCTAGATCGACTGTCACCAAGTTACAGATCGTGCTCTGTGTATATAACGGGGCCATAAAGCGAAAACGAGTGACTTTTGACGCCTCTCATCATTCTTCGTTGTGACCTCTTCATTCCGTATCACTGTACAATAAACCTTTCGTCGGTCTTGTAGATGCATTCACGTCATTCACCAATAGTTGGAACCAACGCTCGCAAACAGGTACTGCACCAGCCAGTAAGCCCAAGCCAAACGTGATTGGTTAGAAGACGGGGAAGCTTTGGGCTTGTCATCAAGGTGAGATCTGAAAATATGTACCCAACGGCCAATTATTTCCCAGTATTTGCTGTGCATGGTTGTTAATTTAGTGTCCAGAAAACTGCCGAATACCCAGATTTCCGCAACATATACTGTAACAATGTGCTTTTTTTTGTACCAATTTTAGGGGACTAATACACCTCATGTGTCCTCGGTTGTTCTGCCGAAAGTGACCGCGAAATGAGTAGTAGGGAAGCTGTTGATTGAACCAACAAACGGGGATCCCCGATGCCTGTCAAATTTTCTCAACCAGTAGAAGTAGCTGAGCAGAAGTCTTGGAAAACAGCTAGATCTCAC